TATATATGTATATACATATATATGTATATAATATATATAATATATATATATATATATATTATACATATATATATTGATGGGATAATCCTTTACTACTTAGATAGCTCATTATTTTCAATACTATGTCAGCTGTGATACCATTTATAACAACTTAAACCCATTGGATAATTGATTCATCAACTTATTGAGTCCAAACCACTCCTAAAAATTCTTAAGCCCAAATTAACTGTAGCACATCCTCCAAGCACTTATTAGATAGACTCCATTCTTCTCCTAATTTTAATGTAGGACTAAACTAGGGTTTGCAAACTTCTGTTGATGCATAATCACAATGTGGGTTTGCAGTTTGCTATAAAGATTTTATTTTATTTCACCCTTCTCTTCTTTTGTTGCCATTGTTGGAGTCTCAAAAAGTCATGGCTACAAATAACAACTTCTCACTTTTTAATAAATCAATGATTCAAAATTCGATCAATTTAATAATAATTATTTGTTATTCAAAATCTTATATGCAAACTTACAACTTATTATATGATCGAAGATATCAACTTCGCTCTTGAAATAAATATTCTAAAGAAATCCTAGAATAGAATTCATGAATATATTTTAGTCTAAATATTTTATCAAGAACATAAATCATATAGAATAATTTTCTCAAATTCTATGATTCGTTGAATAACATCATGTGATATGAAAATCATCAAGAAGGAATAAAACTTACATTCTAACATGCTTTCTGTAATGCCCTCGATTTAGTCCCATATCGAAAGTGGATTAAGACTTATATTGACTTTTAGGAGTCTGATAGGTATACGATTGTTAATTTCAGCGTAAGCATTCTAGGGCAGTGGTTCAAGCTCAACAAAGCTCCCATGCCAATTATCCCATTAGATCAGGTTGTAACAATTAGGATTATAATTGATCTAACAAAAAGTGAAAGAAAGAGAGATTGTTTTGCTGCAAATATGTTGTTTACTCCTTCAACGGAAGGAAGATCGACGAGTAGAGAGGTAAAGGAAAGTGTAAAGAACTAGAAGGGAAGTAAAAAAGAAACTAAAAAAGAAAAAGAAAACAAAAAATGAAAGCAAAAAGAAAGAGAAGGATAAAAAGAAATTTTGATCGAGATCAATTACATCATGCATATATGATAAATTGGACTTGATAATCTGCATGATAAATTACAACATGCATGTATGCATGATTCTAATCATACTCCTTATATAATTTAAGAAAATCAAAAGGATATTCTATAATTAAGGTAAGTACCATGTGATTTCGTTTACCCATACTCAAAGTTACTATATGTATTTTTAAAAAGAGTAAAACTATAAGATTTGAAAGGTTATTTGAAGTATTTATTGAATTGTATAATATTTTATTGTTCAAAAGTATTACAATTTTTTTGCATATATTAGTCTTAAAATGTTATATGATGCTACCAAGATTTGAAAAGATTTGTAAAGAACTATTGAAACCCTTAGATTCCTATAAGTATTAAATATTTCAATTGTCGGTCATTATGATGATCTTAATGGGAACTAAACATTGATTTTCTAAAGAGGCTAAAAATTAATATTTCTTCGAAAAGTAATTTCTTTTAAGCCCTAGCACAGGGATAATATATCATGAGGATTGAAAATGACTATGGACTTTATTATGGGATACAACATGGCCATCATTGTCCTTGCTAATACGACAATTATTCTGTATATATTCTTTGTTATGTACACATTATTTTAAAAATTAAATATGTATCATTTTGAAAAAACTATTTAAAGTCTTTTCAAACTATTTAAAGTCTTATAGTTTATGGTTTGCAAGATACATAATGCTAAGTTTATGATTTACAAAGTATAAAACTAATGTTATGATTTCTGTATAACCAATACGAAAGATTTAGCAAGTGCTGAAGATCAATACAATTAATAAGTTTTAGCAAGAGATATATTTTATATATTAGTTTAACTCGTATGTGGGTTTTAATGTTTATTAAGACGTGGTTTGCTCATACTACCATTAAAGTTCTTCAAATGTCCATAAATATGCTCGAAAGAACAATTTAAGTATCTAAACTTGGATTTGATTCTAATCATAATGTTATTTGAATTTGGATATTGTGAAATTCCAAAGATGTAATTGCATTAGTTGAATATGTTATTTGCTTATTGAATAATGTGAATTTATTGAATATGATATTATTCTAAGAATAATCCCTCCAAGTAATGAAAGATGAAAATAATATTCCACTAATACCTTTAGTTCCTGTTTCATGCCATGCCAGGCATTAGACCAGAGAGGAAGGCCTAAAGAGAGAGCATACTTCTCCAATAGCCTACCTCATCCATCTAAAAGGTGACATAGAAAAGAGGAGAAAAAAAAGTGCTCATATTGTTCAGTGTTCTCCAAATGTAAAATAAAAATATGAAACATCAAATAGTGTATTTGGTTTCACAAGCAAAACCACTTACAACAAAAAATGAATACGGACTCCCATATCAGCAAATATGAAACCGAATGTTTGTTATACATCAAATAGAAATCAATTGAGGTGATCTTATATTCATACTCTAAAATTAATAACAAATCCGGCATATCCAAATGTCAAAAAAAAGAAGAAAGTGGAATGACTTTGAACCCTAAACAAGAACTGATCATTTTCTGCTAAAGATAATGTGACAAATAGATAAAAGAAAGAGATGTAGTACCTGTCAAAGAGAATGTCATTGACCAGAAAAATGATATGCATCTGCCTCTCAGAATCATCTAAAGCAAAAATTCTGTCTCTAAGTGACTCAGCTAGAGCTGGTGCAAAAGGTGACCTTTGCATAAACCACACTTTGGCCCCCTTTATTGATTCTTTGGTGCCAGTAAGATTGATAAGCACACTACTAAGCTCTGCAGCAACATCAGATGGAAGTGGTCCTGATAGCCCCTTGAATGACTTTGTTGACAGTTCATAATCAGGTCGAGGTTGTCCCATGAAAGGTTGGGAGTGCAACTTCTGATGCTGATCATAAAAGGGTGGATAAGAAGGTTGATGCAACTGTGGTGCTCCGAACACAGAACCCGTTGGACCAGCTGGAGTGCTTATGAGAGTAGGATTTACGGCAGATGGATTTAACATTGGATTATGAGATGAAGGAATCATAGGCATTGAAGAGGAGTGGAAAGAATGGTGGGAGGGTGCACCAGGTGGTCGTGTGTATAGCCAGCATTTATATCTATAGTAATTATGTCCTTCGCCGCCAAAAAGGAAACTGTAATCAGGATTGTCACGCTGTTTCTCACAGACCATAGATTCAAATTCAGAGCCATTCTTGGCAACATATTCCACCAACATATCAATCCGCTGTTGAAGCTCAGGATCTGAAGGTGGAGCAACTGGTGGAGCTGACTCATATGGATGTGTGTAAGCCGCTTGTGCCATGATATGAAGGGGTAAATTATGAGGTTCTAAGGCAGCTAAGGCCTGCTGTTGTTGTTGAAGATTAAGAGGAAGATGATGAGGAAAAATCTGCTGCTGTGGGGGAAAGTGGTGATGATAGGCAGGAAATGGTTGAGAGGGATGAGGAGGCAGGAATGGTGTACCATGTACTTGATGAGGAAATTGTTGAGGTTGTGGATGAAATCCAAACTGTTGTTGTGGTTGCATGCTTGCCTGCTGCTGTTGTTGCTGAGCAAAGGCCATGGCTGTTAAGTACTCCTGAGCTTGCCGATCCATCACTGTAAGAAGTGTACAATGTTTCCTCCTTTTCCTAAAACAGATCTGAAAGCACCAACAAATAATACTAATTAGCCAAGAAAAAAAAGGAAAGCCTCCAGCAGCAGCAAGGTCAACAGAATGTGATTATTAAACAGCCAAGAACATATTTAAACACATTAATTGCCCCATTCATGGGCTAGTAAAGTATATTACAACTAGCTTTATAATTCAAACACATTAATAATATTTCTTATCAGAAACCGAGTGATAACATTTACGTCTCACAAAATATGTACCGGTTATGTGATGGGCTACAGGTAAAGATAGCATGCCTTAAGTAACATGTTACAAGAACAAGAAAGAAAAACTTCGCATAGAATATACGGCTTTCGTCTCCCGATGATCCAAATACGAGAACGCATTCCATTCTGTTAAAAAACGTGAAAACAAAAACTTGATGAAAAATAAAAATCCAAGCAAAAAATTGTTCTTTGTCGAAAGTTCAAAAAGATCTTATTTTGGGGCTGTTGAGTCAAGGAAAACATAGAAAAATAAATAAATAAACCTAACAACTGAAGAAATTTCTCTTTTGATGATCCAGGAAGCACGAAAGGGCGATACCATATCACAGAATCAGAAAGAACAAACACGAACTCGAAACCCTAGAAGTAAAACGACAAACCTAGTGAAATCGGACGACTTTACCATCTTGGTGTTCAAATCAAGGCAAGGAAAAACCAATTTGACCAAGATTAATAAAGTTAAGCCCGTAGTCCTCTAAAACAAGGATACAAGAACGACGAGAAAGGCGAGAAAGATAGAGCAAAGAAGAAAGAAAGAAGAGAGGGCGAGATGGGTAGGGATTACCACCCGACCAAGCGAGAAGAAGATGAGGCCGAGCTCTACTGATGGCTGCGGTGGCCCTCGGACGGGATTGGCGGCGTTGGCTAGCGGCGGAGAGCGGTGTCGTCGAGTGTCCGAAGGCGGGGCATGATAACAACTCGAACTTGGTCCGAGTCGGGACTCGGTTTAACATCAACTCGTCCATCTGTGTGTTCCTCGATCAGTCCGGTCGAATTAAGTCACCTCCGGCCCAATTTAATCCGGTCCGGTCCATTTCCGTCCAAGACCGGTTTACCACCGACCCACTCGATTGATAATTCCAAGCCCATCCCTTCTTCTCCCTTCCCTCCGCTGCCCCCATGGCCGCCGACATCGAGACTTCGTCTTCCTCGTCTCTTCAGAACCAATATCCCACCATCGATCCAACCACCTTCGACCTCATCGTCTGCGGCACCGGTCTACCTGAATCCCTCCTCGCCGCCGCCTCCGCATCTGCCGCCAAGTCTGTCCTCCACGTCGACCCCAACCCCTTCTACGGCTCCCACTTCACCTCTCTCTCTCTCGCCTCCCTTTCCTCCTTCCTCGAACTCCCCTCCTCGTCCCTCGACTCCTCCCCTCTCCCTTATCCACCCACCGCCGCCGAAGACTCTTCGTCCTACGAAGCTGTCGATCTCCGACGCCTCCGCCTCTACTCCGATGTCGAGACTTCGGGCAACTTTCCTGAACCATCTAAAGGCTTCCTCGTGGACCTCCCTGGACCGAGGATCCTCTACTGCGCCGACGCCATGGTGGATCTGCTGCTGCGCTCGGGGGCCAGCCACCACGTCGAGTTCAAGAGCGTCGACGCCACCCTCATCTTTTGGGAGGGCAAACTCTGCGCCGTGCCCGACTCGAGGCAGGCCATCTTTAGGGACCGCACCCTGGGCCTCGCGGAGAAGAACCAGATGATGAAGTTCTTGAAGCTGGTCCAGGGCCACATTGACTCCGATCAATGCGGCAACGGTGGCACAGCGGAGGAGGATGGGCTCGTTAGGATCCCGGCCGATGACTTGGAGATGCCCTTCGCTGACTTCCTTCGCAGCAAACGCCTCCCGCCAAAGATCAGAGCGTAAGTACCATTTTACATGCTCGATGTATTCCTATCGCTTGAAGCCTCCAATTTGCTCCCTTTTTTGTGACTACCTTTTGTATTTCAGGATGATTTTATACGCAATCACACTAGCAGATTACGATCAAGAAAATGCAGAGTCAAGCAAAAAATTGATTGTGACAAAAGATGGTATAGAGAGTCTGGCTCTTTACACCAAATCTGTTGCTAGGTAAACTTAGACGCTTGCTTAAATTCTTCCCATCTATTATGTTACAAGTTAGCATTTTGGAGGTGAAATTTGTGTCCAGTGAAAAGAGAACCTCGTATGTTCTTTCATTGAGGCCGATGTACAAAGTGTGACCACTGACTTCTTTACAATAACATTTGCTGATGCATCTGATAAAACAGTGCATTGCATTTACAACTTAGAACCTTGATAAAATTTCTAGGTTGGTCCATATATATTTTGTGCTCAAGTATTTAAATCACGGAGATAACTTCTTGACGTGTGGCAGTGGTTGCATAAGTGTGACCTCTGCAGATACACACTTCTAGGAGTCTAATGCATCATGTTGCTCTATTTTATCTGAAAGATTTAATGCTTTCGATGAGAGAGGAGCAGGTGAATGAGGTCATGTGTTGCCATGACCATCCTTTGTACACTGAAAATGGAAGAACAACAAATATCATTAAAGCATTGAAACAGTAGTGGCTACTGTTTTCTCTTTTTTGGGTAAATAATATTTGGTCAGTAAGTGTAATGTTTCTGCTTTATTTTATAATTTAAAAATTAGCTTTGAATATCCTTTTTGCTCCAACTGGGAGAACTTTTTGGCAATATGATTCATGTTCTTTTTTAGTTAATGTGAAAGTTGCTTTGATAATGCATCAACGGTCCCCTGTGTTTTGTTGATAGCATGTTATTATTACTGTTGGTCTTGGAAGCAGTACTGATTAAATCCCAAAAAATTGCTCACAGACTTGAAAATCCCAAAAAATTGATGAATTAAATTTCTATTTTTTGTCTAGGTTATGCTTCTTAATTCACTAGTGGTCTTGGCCTTGAAGTATATGGTTACTGACTAATTTCATGGCAGGTTTCCTAATGCACTAGGTGCATTCATCTATCCTATGTATGGTCATGGAGAACTACCTCAAGCTTTCTGCCGTTGTGCTGCAGTTAAAGGTGCTCTTTATGTAAGTATTTGACAGCTTGTCCTGCCTGTCTGGTATGTCCTGCCTATCTTGTTTAAGTATCTCTAAGTAAAGAATGACACAAAGACTACCCCTCTTTTTGTGTTCAGAGAGTGATATACAGTAGTCAAATTATTTCAATTTGAAACAAAATTTGTGGTTGTTTGGATGTAAGGTATCACCTTTATTTATTGTTTTTATGTTTACATTGTCTCGCTTTTGAACTGTGATGTAGTCGGAACTGATTTGCTTGTTTTCTGGTTGTGATCATATGCAGGTCTTGCATATGCCTGTGTGTGCACTTCTCTTTGATAAGGTATAATATTTACGATCATGATTGTTATTTGACAGGGTAATGGTAATTACCACCTTTGCAGCTAAGTTATTCTCTTTCAGGAATATATATATATATATATATATATATATATATATATATATATATATATATATATATATATATATATATATATATATATATATATATATA